GCACAAAATAGCTGTCATTAGCACAGTCAAACAAAAGCACATTAAAACAGTCACTGGTACACTTGGTTATAATAATAATCGTTTTTATTAAACCAGTCGTGTTCTCGTGATAAACGTGAGTCACTACAGGAGCCCCCCGCTAGAAAGGGTTAACACTTTCGATAAATAGCGGTTTGAATCGTGGGACTGATCGGCTGACGAGCGATTGTAGGACGGAAGAATTGGCGAACAGGAAAGCGATCGTTGATCGTCGAGTTGCCAACGAAGGTCGTTTTCGGAGAACAGTACCAGGAGCGATGTGTTGTACTTATTGCTTGAGTTGGCATGCTACACCAGAGTGGTTTGTATCCAGAATCTGAAGAGGGCGTTCGTAGATGTGCGCACCAGAAACGCTGCAGACGTAGGACGAAACCACGTTGAGCCAAAAGACCAGAAGCGACCGTAACGACCAAGTTCGAGACCAAGCGTATGCCAAGCATTCGAAACCAATATATCGACTGAGTGCGTTGACAAGAGCATGGGTGGCCAATCCAGCTTTCGCCAAAGTTGACTGAAGTCGACGGAACCAAACGGAGATGGTCGAAGGCGTGGGCTCAGGAAACAAAAAGAAAATCAAAAAAAGAAGAGTGTAGCATACGTGTAGTATAGGAATAATCCTACACCGTATCGGTTGTTGACTGTGCGACTATTCGCGGAAGCGTACGGGTAACCGTACTCGGCGACCGGAACGTGAGACGACAGTCTCGTTCGTATCGCGTGAGCCTGCAATCTCATCCGAGGTCAGAGGCGGCGTGGTCTGCTGATCTGGACGTGAGACTATCGTCTCGTCCGTAGACGGTGCAGATGACGCGTGCTGTTGACCGGGACGTGAGAATGAGGTCTCAGATGCATCTAGCGTGGGACCTGAAGAAGATTTAAGGATCCCGCTAGGTTTGATAGGTCTAGCATTGAATCTCAGGGTGTCAGATAGGGCACTGTCATCGACGTGTGCTGGTCTGAGACGATCAATGCTGACGATCTCGACGCGTCCATATCGATCAACCTTGAAGGTCTTTTCGTGACGAGCGATCACGTGAAAAGGGCCTTCGTAAGGTTGTTGACAAGGTTTGCGTACCGAATCTACTCGTACAAAAACATGTGAACAGGTAGATAACTCTCGAGGGAGAGCGACCTGTCGATGTTGTATTCGAATTGACACCGGAGACAGCGTTCGCATAAATGCAGACAGTCGATGGACGTAGTCTGATTTACCGAAATTAGGTCTGCTCCGTGGTGTGAAGGATTCTCCGGGCAGACGCAATGTCGTGCCGTATACAAGTTCAGTGGCGGAACATTGGATATCTGCCTTTAAGCTCGTTCTCACCCCTAAAAGAACGAGCAGTAAGGTTTCGTGCCAGTTGACGTTTTCGTGTGCTCGTAGAACACTTTTAAGTTGGCAGTGAAACCGTTCAACTTAACCATTTGGTGCTGGGTGGTAGACGGATATGCTTATGCGTATGCATTCCGTACCAAGCAGCCGGGTCAGCGAGGAGAATCGTTAATAAGGTAACATTTCTCGAATAAAGCGTGGAATTCATCATCACGCGAATAAAAAGTGACAAGGATTCGGTACACATACGTGTGAGTCTATTATATTAATACTATTCTTATCGTTATCCGTCATGTCGCGTATATTATATATTAAAAATATGAAAATATACGACAGACGTGGATAGATAAATCATAGACTCACCGAATTGGCTTCTTTGGAAGATTTGATCAGAAGTTGAATCGTGTTCCAAAATACGGCTCACCAATTGTAGCGTGGCGTCGAGTTGAAATTAACTATGAACACCGCTACCAAGAAACACGTGCCAAATAGATCAGAAGGCGTAAGAAGCTCGTTCCAAATGACTCCATAAAATCCCCGAGAAGCCGAATACCAGAAGGCAATTAATGGACCAAGTCGAGGTTTATTAGCTGGCGATCTCGTGGCATCGAAAGGATACCGAGATCGTGCCAGGATACAACCTTGGTTACAGAAGGTAACCGAATTCGCGCGAAGTTACAATCAAAGTGTAAGCGAAAGAATGGAAGCACAAAATAGCTGTCATTAGCACAGTCAAACAAAAGCACATTAAAACAGTCACTGGTACACTTGGTTATAATAATAATCGTTTTTATTAAACCAGTCGTGTTCTCGTGATAAACGTGAGTCACTACAAGATTGCCCGTAAAACAGCAGTATACAGTCTTAGAAGATGAGTGTTCTGTGTCTCAATTAAATGCAGCTGGCTGTGGACAAATGTTAAGAATCTTTTTGACAACTGGGACTTTTAGTTTATCAGACACTAACTCTGCTTGTATGTCTTCCTGTTAAACTGGACGCAGATGCATGGGAATACTTAAATGGGAGCAAAATAATAAAAGCATTGCAATACGGTACTAAGCCCATGTTATGCTTTGCACAAGTAATAGTAGCTGACCTTATCTAATATACATGAACTCAAGTTAAATCACAACTGCATAAATTCTTTGCTAAAGAAATGTGATTTGGTTATTTATATATTCCACATTTTTGACTAAATTCAATATTTTTTCATTTAGAATGCAACAGTAGTGAGCCTTCACAGACCCTAAAAACCGTTTTGTCCTTGGAACTATGGCCCTATGGAACTGTTTACGGGAGACCCAACGAACAGCAGATTATAAAAAGGATGCTGGACGTCCATTTTAGTCTCGCAACCACTCCCAGTATTTTTTGACTTCTTTTACTCTTTCGTTTGGAAAGAAACAATAAAACTGCAGCTTAACATTACCAATACAACTTTTGGACGGGAACTTGGTTTAAACCTTTGTTTGATATTCGATTCTTAATGAAAGTTCTTCAATAAATTTTTGAATCTAATGCTACTTTGTTTTATCTACTTAATCGTTGCAAGAAACTTGTGATAAGCGAGCCTCTCTGCACCTAGTTCATGTGTTCAAATAGTTGTGGACTGAATAGAAGAAGCTTTCGCTTAATAGGCTTTCGTGTCTAGTAGTAGGGGATCACCAATACCTCAAGGCAGGAAACTAGGTATGTTAACAATAAAAGAGGAAAGAGAAATTGGTAAATCATAGTATGATACTATCCTTAAGAATAGATCCACTTGCCTCTTAAAGGACTCCTGGGAAGTCGCTTGGACTAGCTCGGCGGGCAGCGGATTCCAGCATTTGACAACTCCTAAGGAGTAGAAGTTACGCATCCTAACCGTACCTGCGTCTTATCTTATAGCTTCTAATTTAAATGACAAGCAAGCAATGCCCCTACCCGCACTAATGGAACACTAGTAACTAAAATGCACCCCGCATGGTACCTTACACTGGTTTACGTACTCGCTTAGCTCTTTAGTGAGAATATTAATACGGTCCTGCTGAAAATCCCATGAACCCTCCTACCTCCATCAAAACAAATAAGTCTGTATTTGCTGCGAATAGCAATTTTATTTTTCAGAAGTAAGATATAACAGTTAAAATTGGAGCAAAATGTCAATACGAGGGCGTACGAAGCACCCAAACTGGAAGACAGTTGTTCAAAAATAATTCGACTATGAAGATGAGAATTTGCAGGTACTTTTCATAGTAAGAGTGAACATATTAGGTACCAGTTGACATCATACCGTAAAAAACACAAATTTGCGAGTGGCGAAATATGATCTATAAAAGAATGCGCTTAATTAACAGTTAATTACCTTTTTACTCCCTGATCATGACCCTTCGGCTTCCTTTTATGGCCAAAACAGCAAACATAGACTAGACACTGGTAGCAGATTTCCGGCTTTTCAATGTTAAGCTTGCTTTAACGCACTGAGCAATGAGTACAACCACTCTATTACTGTTATATGGCATATTTTTCATAACAAACCTCTGCAATAGACTGGTAGCATCTGTGGCTTCATCTATAGTTGTCGGAAGTCTGGGTCCTTTCGAAATCAATACCGATATACCCTACTGCTGGGCACTCTGTATTAGTTTGACTCGTTGGTGGGATAGTGTTGTCCATAATACTGTAGAAAATTAAAAAAAACGCAGATTGTTTCCTTTCGTTTTGCCGATAACATCATAAAGGACAGTTAGGAACGAACATGCGAACAGTTAGAGTCACAGACGGCAGCAACAATTATTATAGCTAAATGAAAACGAACTTCGGCTTTGGATATCTAGAAAACAAGGTAAAACATAACCGATTGTCGTTTAAAAACGTAAGGTCTTATGTTAGTACTAGCCTGCTTAGCTGAATAAATACAGTGACTTCATTAGCAGCAGGTAAAACCCAGAAAACAAAGCAAAATCAGGAAAAAATTTGCTCCAACGTTCAGAGTATTACACTAACTTCTGGATTTTAGCACACTGAAACATCAAATTCTGTAGCTACACAAAAGAAATAGCGGAAAAAACACAGAACGAAGAAAGCCGGCCGACATTTTATAACACTAGACTAGCCAGATTGCCCGAAGAAATACATTGACTTGAAAAGAAGCAGCAAAAACCCAGAAAACATCGCTGATTCGAAATAAACTTCACACCAACATATAGAACATTACACTAACTGTGGCATTTTAGCACACTGAGACATTAAATTATATAGCTACACAAAAGAAATAGCTGAAAGAAGCACAGAACGAAGAAAGCCGACCGCCATTGCTTACAAAGATGGGGGATGTAATAATTCCCGCCTCATTCTGATTGGTTGCTAAGCTGAAGGGCACATTTACGAAATTGAGTTGCGTTTAATTGCAGCCAAATATCTAGTTCGGAGGAACAGGTAGCCCAAATATTCAAGCAGGCCGCCACAGTTACTTTGTTACCGTTTTCATTCATAGTTGAAATTTTATGCCGACAATAATCGCTTACAAGTTTTCAATTTACTTTTGTCTAGAATTATGATTTGATCCCACGGCGAGACCATAATTTATGGATGAACCAATCAGGTATAAGATAACTAGCCACGAATTTTGGCGCGAAACTCATCCATGTATTTGGCTGTATTATATAGGTTTATGTATGTTAGTTAATGGTTATGATGTGTTTCTGTGGCGAATTAGTCTCTGTTCAAAAGCATTTAGTGCTTGAATTGATGGCGCGTATTCGGACAGGGCACTACAGTATTAACCATTCAATGAAAACAGAATCCGTACCTACATTCTTCCAGTGGTTGACACTAAACTTATATGTATTGGCCTTGGACTTGATTTGTTTCTGTTGAAGCAAATAATGGGATGTACCAAAACCCAGGTTATTATTCAAGATACTAAATGGGACCACCTGGGTTTTTACGGCGGGATAGAAATAGTAGCTTTAGTCGTTTCAATCTCATCATGACTAGTCGGGGTTTCGAAATCCCTTAAGGGATGATACATTTCAGTCCTCAACCGTCTTAGAAATCATAGGTCGCGAGTACCCTCAGGTTCTTTTGTTTTAGAAACTTCGACAGTGAAGACGTATCAATCGTGTGGTGGTGAATATTATTGTGAATGGTGTACATTAGTGCACTTTTACTGAGTTTTGTTTTTGAACACCAATATTTTGACAATCTTGCCGATTTACTTAGATGTGTCTGCAGTTCTAGCCTACCAATGTTACTATGTTCGACCTTACTGCGTCTTCGAATCCGAAGTTTTTAATCCAAGCTTATAATATGCTTGCTATTCTGAAGTTAGAAGGCTTCATCTTAAAACCAGACTGGGACATGTGGAAGGTATCTTATTGTTTGCTGTGCAGTGTGGGAACATTTTTTGGGACAAAAAGCATCCTCTCCAATAGAATGTTAGAATCTGTTTTTTGGAGTATAGTAGGCTTTTGGCTGCGCCAAACATCCACTGATTTTGATTTATGGACATATATCAAATAAATTATTGCTCTACTTCGTATGTTGTTCAAGAAATCCATCTCAGTTTCCTTTTTCCAAAATAGTTTACGTCATGGTTTTATCCGAGGGCACATGTGCAATTTCTGGGCTGCATTAGAGATCAAGTATGTGGTTTTGCGTAAAACAAATACAGGCTCATTCAGTGGCCTTCAGTACGCATTTCTAGGTTTTACAAACCAAAGCATATTTTCAGTTCGATGTATTTGTGTCATATCCTAACGATAAAAATGAATGAGTCATCGAAAGGCAATTTGAAGCATTCTTAAGTATTATTGACTAATTGCTCCAAACGCTTAGATTATCCATGGGTAATTTTCTTGATAATTTTTCGTGGTTAAGTTGTTTCATTCACCCTTGTGAAACCTGCACTTTAAACTCTCATTGTGGCAAGAAAACTGTTGTTTAAAGGGTTTCATTTCAATATGGAGCAATTTAGTCACAAAGTGAAATTACATCGCGATCTTCATGAATAGCTATTGCTAAAAGGATAGTGTAAATGAAAAGTCGTAGACTCGAATAGCTGTCTGAATGTGTCTAATTTCCCAACTACACCAACCTTAGATTCCAGAATATTTATTTTGGTTGTGTAAATCATTACTTTGTTCACTCTGTACTGTTTTTTCCTAACTTTAAAATACGCTTTACTAATTGATCTGTTGGTGTATTGTACGCTCATTTTTTATTGTTCAATCTCCTACTCTATATAGTTTGGGACCATGCACTCTTGTCTATCTTTAACTTGACAACTGTCATTTCTGTTTTATAATCACTACCGAATATTCAAGTTGTTCTTATTTTATTGACATTACAGCTATTAGACAAGAAAAGATACAATATTGTGGTTCATTTTACCATGACGTTTGTCAATCTGCTGTTGAAGAATACAGGCAGGGTTAATTTCGTTCGATTTTCTCACATAAGTCGCTCAGTAATTATCTTTTCATACTTTTAATCCATTTTACTCATCATGAAGGTAACACTTAGTAAATTTGAAGACAAAACCCTCGATTATGATAAATTGGAACACAATCTAAATATAGTGAAAGATCGGTAATGAGTGATACGATTTCTGATGTTATTTATAGACTTGGACATCCGTTAACACTAGCCGAGAAAGTGTTGTATTCTCATCTTGACAACCCAAAAACTGCAGTAAGCACTTTTTTCCAAAAAGATTTCTCTAAATTACTTTTAGAATATTGAAAGAGGTAAAAGCTATCTCATGCTTAGGCCCGATCGTGTTGCAATGCAAGATGCTACAGCACAGATGGCTCTATTACAGTTTATTAGCAGTGGTCTTCCACGTGTCGCTGTACCTTCAACTGTCCACTGTGATCATCTTATTGAGGCTAAAGATGGTGCAGGAACAGATCTTAATCGTGCGAATGATACCAACAAGGAGGTTTACGAATTTCTCGCATCTGCTTCGGCTAAATATGGGATTGGATTTTGGAAGCCTGGATCAGGAATAATTCACCAGGTAATTGTTATTTGATGTCTTTCTCCAAATTATTATTCTCCTGTATTGTTCATTTGTCGAATAAACTAAGTATTGTGTGATAAAATCGATCGGCAATTACAGGATGTGCGGAAAAACACAATACTTCATAATTAATCCATCCAGTTTACAAAACTCAACATTAAAATGTTCAGTACATTTGATTATCATTCTCAAAGGCTTTCAAAAGTTACATCTTATCCAAGAATGAGTGATATATACAGATGGAGATTATTGCTCAATAAGTCTTTGCACTTGGAAGTTTTAGATTTGGGTTAACAGATACCGTAGTCAAGTTCAGAAATCTCTCCATTCACACTAATTAATGCATTCACCTCAATATTTTAAACTCAATATTCGAATAATCTGAACTTCTTTCTCCAATTAAGGTTTATTCTCAATAATGCTGAAAGGCAGTTTTTTCTAAGGATGATATTATTTCACTTGTATAGTTTACTGAATATGTCGAGGTGATTATCGGTCATTTGTAAAATGTTCATAACTTTTCTAACAATAAAAATAGGTTTGAATCAAAGTGCATGTAGGTGTTCTGTAGATGAGATTTTCACTTAGAATCTTTCAACATAAACTGAATTCAATCGTCCGTTTCTTGTGTTGATTCGTTCATACTCGCAAAATCAATCATATAGATTATGTTTTGTAAATATACTGAAATAAAATAGCGTTAACCATCAAACTACAGACTTCGAATCCAACATAAATCCAGTCTTACATAAAACCTGTTAACCTTCGATTCGATCCCATGAGGATTATTACAATTCATACTGTTAAATTCCAGTTTAATTTATGGTGGTTTGCTTCATCCCATTGTTGGTATTTTGGTCGACATTTAATCAGTCTTGGTTGCCACAATTGAGTGGCTAGGTGAATAACATGTTGGCATTTAAAGCGAACGGTATTAGATTTGAGTTCTAGAGAGGAAATCAACTCTGTTTTTTTAGGTACAGTCAGTCAGTCAGCTACAACGTAGGACCAGGCACATATGTGCATCGGTCCAGGTTGCCATACCGCATCAGCACAACAAGATGAACACCGGATTCATAACAGTGGTTAGGTCAAAGGTGGTAATATATAAGAGAAAGATTGCATATAGAAATATATTACAAGAAGAAAGAATTGGTTCGTAGAAAGAAAGATATGAAGTGATTTTAATCTCTTAGTTTAAGGGAAGACAGGGAGTGTATACACCGACGCCATTGTGATAGATTCTGAGCCATGTCACCAACAGTCTCCAACCATTGGTTACGAAAGTCACGCGGACCCCAACCAAGTAGTCTGCATCTACCAACATGGCTTAGACTAGAAGTTAGTGACTTCAAGCACTGATGCCACGTTTTGGTTTGGCCGCCCCTAAATTTCTTCCAACCATGTTCAACATCGGTTAGCATTGCACGTCGTAGTAATCGGTGTTCAGGCATACGTAACACGTGGCCCAACCATCTCAGTCGATGAAGATTCACAACCTCATCAACTGATTTACCATCATTTCCTAATACCCTGCATCTGACCTCACTATTACTTACCCGGTGATCCCAGCAGACGCCAGCAATATTTCTAAGGCATGTGGTCAAATACTAATAGCTTACGAGTGTCTTCTACTCTTAATGGCCATGTTTCGCTGCCGTAAGTTAAAACAGAACGAACTGGCGCGCAGTATACTCGTCCTTTTATTGATAGACGGATATCTCGCCTTCGCCATAGGTGACGCAAGTTGGCAAAAGCCAAGCGAGCTTTTCGAATCCGTGCTGAGATTTCGTCAGACACCAACCCATTAGGGCTGATCAGACTTCCAAGATATGTGAAGTTGTCAACGCGTTCGACTACTTCACTCCCTATCCTTAGTTCAGGTGTTGACGCAGACCAGTCCTGGAGCAACAACTTGCATATAGAGGGAGAAAAGCGCATTCCAAACATTCTGGCATTGTTGCTTAATGCTACCAAAAGACTCTGCATTTTGTCAGCGTCTTCAAACAGGACTATGTCATCTGCGTATTCTAAGTCGTTAAGTGGACCTCCTGGATGGAGATCAATACCTGAGAACTCAGTCGACGAGGAAGTTATTTCCATCAGTAGATCTATGATGAAGTTAAACAAAAATGGGGAAAGTGGACAGCCTTGACGGACACCACTTGAGGTTTCAAAAGTAGATGACAGTTCGCCACAAGCTCTGACTCGACTAGTAGTGTTCGAGCAAAGAGCCTTTACAAGGTTTATGTACTTCTGGGGTACGCCTTTCAATGACAGACACTGCCACATAATCTCGCGGTCTACCGAGTCAAATGCTGCTTTTAAGTCAAGAAAGACCACCATTGTCGGACGCCGATAAGTATGCATGTCTTCTAGAATCTGACGAATGGTGAATATGTGGTCGATGCAGCCACGACCAGGTCTGAAGCTAGCCTGAGTCTCTCGTGTTTGCAGTTCACGAATCTTAGTTAGGCGTCTGATAATTATCGAGGCTAGTATTTTAGATATTATATTAGTTAAACTAATCCCTCTATGGTTGTCACAGGATGATTTTGACCCTTTCTTATATATTGGGACGATAAGTGATTGTGACCAGTCAGGTGGGATAACTTCCAACTCCCAGATTTTAGCTAAAATATTAGTCAACATAATCGCTAAAATTGGACCACCATCCTTAAAGACCTCTGGAGCCAATCCATCTGGACCAACTGCCCTTCCTCGTTTCAGATTAACTGTAGCCTTTTGGACTTCTGATAGAGTTGGGGGACCTACTTCAATGTTCCATTCACACTGTCTGGGAATGGAGGGTAGTTGTAGAGTAGCTGAAGGCCAGTTGAACTGTTCTCCGAAATGTTCCGCCCATCGTTCTAAACGTCTGGACTGGGAACAGATGAGAGTATAATCTTTTTCCGAAATAATCTCACTTACACTTGACTTATTAATTCCAGTTTCTTTTATTAGTCTGTAAAGCTGTCTTGTGTTCCCTATAGTCGCCGCCTTTTCCATCTCTTTTGCTTTCATTGCCCACCACTGCTCACGGTCGTTTCTTAGACTTTTTCTTAACCTAGATCTGATTTGTTGTCGCTCTTCATCATGTTCGGAACCTGATGGGACGAGTTTGCGGGAACCCATCAGTGTGATAGACTTTGAGGAAATCCACTGGTTCTTTGTAACTCTGTGGTTTAAGTCGCTAATAGATGTCACTGCTGTTTCCACAGCTGCTTGTATGTCTTTCCAAGCAACATCTGGGTCAGCCTCGTCTTCAGAACTACCTAATTGTGAACTCAGTTGTTCCTGGAACCTACTTTTGGTTTTCTCGTTACTCAACTCAGTCCTAATGGGTCTTTTTAATGTGGCTTTTTTGCGTCCAGTGAGGCGCAAGCAGATGCGTGCCCGTATTAGGGCGTGGTCGGAGTCCAAGCAGGTACTCCAGAATGAGCGACAATCTTCTACCGACCCTCTCCAACGATGACTGATGGCAATATAGTCTATTTGAGTCCATCGTTGGTTCGGTGCAGGCGGTCGCCATGTTAGACGATGTCCCTCCTTATGCTTAACATTTGTGTTTGCTAAAAATAAGCGATTGTCTGAGCACAGTTGCAACAGACAGTCACCATTATCTGTTCGCTGTGCCGGAATACTAAAATATCCACCTAAATGCCTTTCTGTTTGGTTTAAGCTACCTATCTGAGCGTCAAAGTCACCCCCTATGAGTACTATGTCTGAGCGTTTAGCTTTCTGAAGAAGTTCAGAAAGCTTTCTGTAAAATTAATCTTTCACTTCATCTGAGCTTCAGTCAGTGGGAGCGTAGGCAGAAACGACAAAAAGGCAACGACGTGTGTCCCTATCCTTCCGAGTTCTTACGGAGCCGTTTAGCCGAACAGCACATAGACGACTGTTGACGGGGATCCACTCTAGCAGTGCTTGTTCCGCCCTCATGCTTAGTGCTATGCCTACACCTGCCAGTCCACGAGAACTGGCCATTGGGTCACCAGATACACGGAGGGTGTATCTCGTTGGCTCTCCGTTTTGCCGAGGTGTGGTCAAGTGAATGACCACACTGGAATCCTGTATGCTTGTTTCGGAGACACTGCATACATCAATGGAAAGAGACTCTAGGGTCTTAGCCAAGGAAGCCTGCTGACCGATTTGACATAGGGTGCGTACGTTGAAGGCTCCAATGTGTAGTTTGGAGCGAGGTTTCAGTAGACCTGGGACAGATTTTTGAGCACTAGAATCGTTGGCTATGGTGACACATGGGGAGGAAGCCGAAAGAGGAGGTTTAGAGTTGAAAGTCGATGTAGGAGGAATAATAGGAATTGAAGAGGAAGGTTGATTATGAATACAGTGGTCTTGGGTGCTGTTAGAGGTATGAGGGCGGTTATCACTTCCCGGTTGCCCACACCGAGGAAGGGTTCTTCTGGAGGTACCTGAAAAGGAAATTGGATTAGAGGCGGTCTCAGTGACCTGAGAGCGTGACCGCAGTGCCCAAGGGACAACTGCTTGAGGCCGGTCGCGCACGGCCTTTTCGTGGGAGGTTTTTGACGTGTTAGCTCCGTTCTTCAAAGGGCCTTACCGCCGGAGACGGAAATCCGTGAGGTAAGGTGAGGTGTGCATTTTTAGGGTCGACCTTTTCTAACCCCACCCCTCCTTGTGGGAAGGCAGCATCGCTGTCATGCTGGTTGTCTGAAGGAAACACCTTACTGCTGTTACACCTCTGTACAGTCAGCAGTACAACTTCGCCTTCGGACCTTGGGTTTGTTGCTTTTAGTCTTACCGCTCTTCAACCGACCTGTCTGACATGGTAGGACCTTGAAGAACGGTTGTTCCAGCCAATATAGCTCGGTTGCTTCATCACGATAGGCAAGCCCGACCACCACGTCAAGGTAGCAACAATGGTCGGGCTTTTCAGGTACTCCAGCTGGCAAATCCCAAATGGGACAAAACATCCTGAATTTCGCTGCTAGTCATATTTCATCTATTCTATATTATACAATTGAAGTGTTTTAATAAAGAAAATCAACTGTCCAACACTCTTTTTCAAAATAATTGTCTATCTGGCATTTTTCCCCTGAAGATTGTTTTAGAGAACTATGCATTTCCTGGTGCATTAATCATTGGCACCGACAGTCATACACCTAATGGTGGCGGACTTGGTGGTTTGTGTATTGGTGTTGGTGGTGCAGATGCTGTGGATGTAATGGCTAATTTACCATGGGAGTTGAAGGCCCCATTAGTGATTGGCGTACATCTAACAGGTAAATTATCTGGTTGGACAAGTCCAAAAGATATCATATTAAAGGTATGATCGTTATATATTTTTTAAGGATTGGTTTTGTGTAAATTAGTTTTACATGTAATATTTTGTGCTAAAATATAGCCTACTAGGTGGCTGTAAAACAGAAATAATGTCCAAACTCAATCCTCTTTACTGTTAAGACTACAGCGCAAAGAAGGGAACGCTAAAAGCAAGGGCTTAGCAAATAATTATATTAGAATAGGAGGATTCGTGAAGATTATTGAATTTTCGTGCTTTAAGTCACGAACCGATCGTTGTTAGATCACCATTAAAAATTTGGAAGTACGCGCACGAGACCAAAGGTTCTGGGTTCAACTTCCGTGAGCAGGATCGTAGATGTACATTACCAAGGAGTGCTATACTAAAACGAAACGGCCGTCCAGTACTTCCAGGTTTTCAATGGTGGTCTAAGATCACTTGGTGGTGTAAACTATGAGAATAATTGTATATTTCAAAGAGTGAGATATCCCGGTTCTAAATTAGATAAATTGCAAATATATACAGATCACTAACACAATAATCCATTAATTCAAGTCTTTTACATTTAAAACCACAGTGCAAAGAAACTAGGAAAAAAAGTGGCATTCAGGCAAATATCAAAAGTGAAATTCTAAAGAATAACAGTTTAAAAAATGATAGGTTCCACCAGTCTCAAAGTTAGGTAAATGATAAATGTATCAAATAAACCATCATTGATCTTGACCAGTCTCTTATGGTTTTAAACGAATTGATGGTACATTCTGCTTAGACAGTGCCAACAAGATAATTTTAATTAGATTAAATGGCGCAAAAGTAGTCATAATGGTGTGAATATAGTCGGTATTTATTTTCTCCTAGATTATGAGTTGCAATAATATCTTGATGTTAACTTTACGAACTCATTACTTATTTTCAAACTTCATGATATCTTTAGTTTTTTTAATACCATTGGTATTACTATTTAGACCTTTTTGTTATTCATGTTAATTTCACCTCATCTTGTTGATTTAGCATCGGAGCTTATTTGAGATATTTACTGAACTCAATAGCACCAAATCAACCTGTTTTGATAAAATTTCCTGCAAATGGTTATCTTCAGACTTTTTGTTAGCTTAATTTGCCTCTTTACTCATGTTGGTTGCCATTTTCGATTTACCTCTAACCATGCTATGATTAGCTAACCTTTACCGCATAGATTGGTTAGTAAGATCTCATTTTGGACATCAGGCCAAGAAAACAACCTATCGCTGCGCAGGTCTACTTACTTAATTTGTTTTACTTTACTTACTGTTACCTCATCGAGGAGGAGCATATGTTTCACACCAGGATTCTCCAGCCATCTCTACTGTGAGTTCTCCTTTACGATTGTTTCCAGTTTCTATTCATTCTTTTGATGTCTCCTTTCAACTCCCGACATAATGTGTTCTTTGGTCCACTTCTTTCACTTTTGCCCTCAGTACTCTAAGTTAGGATTTGGTTCATGATGCAGTTTGATGATTTCTGCTATGTACGTCCTATCAACCTTCACCGTCTTTTCCTAATTTCCTCTTCAGCTGGAATTTGGCTTGTTCTCTGTCACAGTGGGTTGTTGCTGATGGTGTTCGGTCAACGGGCATTGAGTATCTTGCGCAGACAATTGTGTAGAAATACCTGTATATTCTTGTTGATGGCTGTGGTTATTCTCTAAGTTTCAGCTGCATACAGTAGAACTGTTCTGACTTTCATATTGAAGATTGTAACTTTGATGTTGGCTGACAGTTGTTTTGAGTTCCATATGTTCTTCAACTGTAGGAATGTTATCCTTGATTCGCCAATCCTTACCCTTGCATCTGCACCAGATCGTCCTTGTTTGTCGATGATGCTACCTAGGTACTTGAAACTTTCCACCACTTTCAGAGTTTGTCCATCATGTGTGGTTGGTTTGGTGCTGTGTATTGTATTTCAGGATCCCACTTTTTACCCTGTGTACGATGAGACCTGATGTTGCAGAATCTGCTGCTACATTGGCTTTCTTTACCTGAATTTGTTGGTGTGTATGGGATAGAAGAGCTAGGTCATCTGCAAAGTCCAAATCATCTAGTTACATGTAAGCTGTTCATTGTATTCCGTGCCTCCTCTGAAACATGGAAGTCTTCATAATCTTATCGATTACCAGAAGAAAGAGGAATGACTAGAGTAAGCAGCCTTGTCTAACTTCGGTCCTCACTTGGAATGCAGCTGTCCTCCATGCACGACTTTGCAGTGTAATCCGTCGTATGAATCCCAGATGGTGACGATTTTCTCAGATACACCATAGTGTCGAAGATAGTTCCATAAGGTTTTCCTATCCATATTGTCATATGCTTTCTTATGATTAAGGAATTTGACATATATTGATGAGTTCCATTCAATTGATTACTCAGCAATGATCCGTAGTGTCGCGATTTGGTTTGTGCATGATCGATCCTTACGGATTCTAAACTGTTGGTCTCGAAGCTGTGCGTCTACTGAATTTTTCGTCCGCTTCAGCAAGTGTTGAGAACGTTTTTGGATACTGATAGTAGTGTAATGTCTCTGTAGTTCTCACACTTACTCAGATCTTTCTTTGGTGTTTGTATGAGGTGTCCTTTCCAATTTGTTGGAACTTGTTCTTCCTCCCAAATGCTTCTGAATAGAGTGTGGAGCACCTTCTCAGTTACCTTTCTGCCTGACTTCAGTGCTTCAGCTGGTAGGTTATCAGGTTCCTCTGATTCCTCACTCTTGATTTGTTAGGTGACTATGCCGTTTTCTCGGATTGTCGAAAGCTGCATAAAATATTACCGTTTATTGATTTGGACATCTTCAGTCATCATCTGTTCAGCCAACATGACATTTCAGAGTAGACGGTGGCGGTTGTTCATGCCTAACAAATCTCTTGACTACACTAAAAAATATTTGCTTCTAAAACGTCGTTTAGTTTGTTATTTTTATCTGCGTCGCTGAATGCTTTATCTAGCTAACTAGTTTTCGAATTCGAAGTTCGAATATATTCCCTTTTTTGTGATAAACACCTCTCCCTAACTCAAACCTAAATCTTTTCATTATAATCAAAGTTAGTAAACATAAGTGAATAAATAACAAAAGTTTACTTTTTCCATTGGTAAACTTATTCGACAGCTACAGACTTGTGTACTTGATTTCGATTCAAATTCTAAGCGTGCAGACTAGTGATACCTATACATGGATTACGCCAGTCGAAATGAATGGAGCGAGGTTTTCACCTACGGTTCAGTGGCTAAAATTGAAAACCTTTAGCTAATATTGAGTTAATGCTCCAAATGTGAAATATATTTGTTTTGTTACTGTAATTTCACATCTCATTTCTTGTGCAATTTTTTAGGTAGCTGAAATCCTAACAGTGAAAGGTGGAACTGGAGCCATCGTTGAATATTATGGTCCTGGTGTTGAATCGATTTCATGCACCGGTATGGCTACAATTTGTAATATGGGCGCTGAGATCGGTGCTACAACATCAATTTTTCCATTTAACGATCGAATGCTGGATTATTTACGTGCTACAAATAGAGCGGATATAGGAGATTTAGCTTCGAAGCATAAGGTGATCGATCATTTCAGAGCTAACCTTATGTATATATAATGAAATTTACTTTACTTAAAAATAACATTTTTAGTCTATGTCATTGTCGGTAGTGATATATGAACTCGATAGCCTAGTGGATAACGGGTTAGGCATTTGAAACGGAAGGTTACTTTGTTCCAGTCTTTATAGGAATATCAACAAGGGGGTACAGTTGGCGAGTCCCAAATAAGATGAAACACGTTTCCTGGTTTCTAATGCTGACCAAAACTCTATATATCCCGCAAAAAAACAGTTTTAGTTATTAATATGATCTGAAATGTACTTCCACTAATGCATTTTGGTTGTGTTGCATTCTGATTTCTCTCTATTCAGGCTTCTTTACTTACATCAGATGTAAATTGTAAATATGATAAAATAATTGAAATAAATTTGGATACCTTAGAACCACATATAAATGGTCCGTTCACACCAGATCTGGCACATCCAATTTCACAAGTGAGTCTCCGTATATCCTAATTTTCATTCCTAAATGAATTATGTTTTTTTACATAGTATTGTAAACGGTAATATTTATCACGAATGGATGTTAGAGAGTTTTTGGAAACCCATAGAGTACTGGATACGTCTATTTCGTCTTCCTTGTAATTCTTTGACATTGCACACTCATTACTCCATATCCATATTGAATAAAAGACTTTCGATTATCGCTCTGGGTAGTGCCTAATACTTCCAAATCACTCGGTTGGAATCCAACTCCAACCAATACTCTATGTAAGTATAATCCTCAACCAATTATTACAATGCTGTAGTATTGTTTTATCACCTGCAAAAAATTGTATCTATAATTAATGGTACACGTAATGTGTTGTGTCATGAAAAAAAGTTAAATACTAAATGATATTGGTCCATGGTACCAGTTCATTAAAGTCCATAGAATTCCATATAACAGATATTTGGGAACTAAAATGCCTTTATTAGTTGTAGAGTCTAACTTTGTTGCCGTAAACTTTAATTAGTACTAAACTGACACCGATACATACTCATTATGTTACTTGAAATCTTCATCAGCTTGTTATTCTGACTGCCACTCAATTTTTACCGAGTTCAAGTTTTATGCACTCAACTATGAGATACACTTTCATTTATGCGTTAGCTAGTCATACTGCCAGGTAGGTTGCCAGAACCGAAGTTACTGGAGTGGAATTCGAGCCTGTGAACTGTCGGTTTATGTTATGATGAAAATAATAATGATATTATTAAATGAAAAAATAACCCAACTAGTAGAGATTACTATAATGTGAGCTATATACGTATATTGATTAATAATCTTTGCAGTTTGTATAAAATACTACCGAAGATTTTTTCCCCAATATTTTATAGATCAAAGTACTCATATTAATTAACATATGTAATGTTCGTTTGGAATTGTACAAATTATGTATGGTATCATTAAAATGATAAGCAATTATTTGCTGGTTTTTTCCTCGTTTCTATAAAATAATGAGGATTTTTTCAAAGCCATAAATTTTATACATCATGTACATGCATCACTCTTCACTCTATTCAGATCGAGTCAACTAGTTATAAATACCTGGTTATAAGTACCTGTATTCAAACACCTCAACCAGAGGAGGAAAATAACTACCTCTCCCTATTGTTTCATCCGAAGAGTGGAGTCAGACAGAGTTCCTCGACCTTACTGTTCCTCTTCAACTTTGCCATCTTTTAAACTCTGGAAACAGCTCCTATGGAAGCGTATTTTTGTGGTGTAAATCTGTCACCTAGAGAAGGACTTCTACCTGGGGTATACAGACGATATTACCTTACTTGTACCATGATACCCAAGCCTTGCAATTCACACTTAAGCAGTTGATAACCAGTATTCGTAGGTATAGTATGTACTTTTTGCCTTCTAAATGCAATGTAATTTTATAAGACTGGCAGAAGCCTGTCCCTTGGTAGCGAGCAGTTAGAAGTAGTTGAAAAGATCGTGTATCTGGGTAGCCATGTGAGTATGGGTAAGGACGTGGTTGGTATGGTCAGCTTAACTAAAGTGAAAGTTGAAGCGGGTCATGCCAATCTGGGCCATCTTTGGCTCCATCGTAATGTTATTAGTCTGGCTGCAAAAGGTTGGGTTTACAAGGTGTCAATAAAAGCAATTTAACTCCATGCTTGTGAAACTTGGCCTCTTGGAGTTGAAGATATTCAGTAACTCGATATCTGACCATCATTGTTTTCGAAAGATTGCTGAAGTCCAGTGGCAACACTTTGTTAGTAATTCTGAGGTTCGAAAATTTTTGTTCGGGTACATTGATGATAACTCAATTAGTATCAAAGACTTTAGTGGCTTGAACATTTGCTATGAATGTCATCCCGGCGGATTTCACATCGTGCATTGTTTGCCAAGGTCGAAACTGGTTAAAAAATTCGGAGAGGTGGTCACTCTGTGACATGATACCGGAATATGAAACAAAATTGTACAGGACCAACTGGGAGAATTCTTTTGGGTTGTATTTTTTCATTTGAAATGCTTCTCTTATTATCTTATACTCCCATTCACTTAGTTTTACCCATTTGTTGCTTTTTTCTGCTTTATATTCACCGTCCTTCAATCTCTTCTTACTATGTAGTGCTTTTTTTGGTGCCCCTTTGTATCAATATTTGCTTATCTAGATAATAATAATGATCCGTGTAAAACGATTTAATGCACCATGCTTTTTAAGTTACGTTAGTGAAAGTGTTATGTATACTGTTTTAATGTTAGCCAACCGAATCATCAACAAAGAGCGAACCATTTAGCTTGCATATATATTATGAACTGCACAATTATTAACTATCTCATCCATTATTCACTATTAACCGTAAATATTTTAAAAAGATGTAATCTACTCTGAGGTACGTGATCAAATAGAGCCATATTTATCCAACTTTAAGCCAGACTTTCTTATATTTGAATTGGTGATACCATTTCTCAAATATCTATCCAAACTAAACTGGATAAAGAGGGATTCGAACACTTGGTTTATTTATTGAAAATCGAATGTTTTAACAACTAAGTTAACACTTAAAATATTTGTACTAACAGTGTTCAAATTATCTGTGTTTAGATATCTTTTTTTTTCAGTACTTATTTCACGTGTTTTTGTTTTCTTGATCAATAAGTACTGTTTTGTTCTTTCTACTAGTTGGACAATCAGTCATTTGTTGATTGTCAAGTGATTTTCACATTCCTTTACAACAAATTAATGCTACATTTCTAACTTGCTGTAAATTCAACAAAATATTACTAATGTAATTATGACCATTGATCTACCGTACTGATTGTTTTAGTATAAAGTGCAAGTGTTCATAAGTAAAACCAAAATCACTATATATTCCTCAAATCTAACTATCCTTGTTTAAGTAATGCCCATCATATATATATATATATATATATATATATATATATATATATATATATATATATATTCCCAGGGATAAATCACCATGTGTTATTATGGAGCAAATTCTTCACCTCCGATATAGTTTCACGTCACTGATCACTGCTCCTTACCAGAACTTTGAGAAACTCATTTTGATCTCTGATAAAAGTGACGATTTGAATCACGGCCAATCAAATATTTAGGTTAAATATACTTGAGAGGTGCTAGTACGGATGCATTGTTGGTTAGAATTTGATCTTACTTTTTAAGGAAATAAAAATCTGACTTTTTCTGGGGAAGCTGTATTTAATGTCAAAGTTTCTATCCTTAATGAATAGATCAAATCCTTTAAATTAAATTTAAAAAATTATTAAGAATTTGGTCGTCTAATATGTGAGCCACCACAGAATTTAAGATTAGTATCTTAGTTAACAAACAATGAAACAGATTCAACGAAATAATCAAAACCCAATAGCTAGAACAAATTATGAAAAAAATTCTTATATTGTAAATTTAGAACAAGATATATAAGCGAAGAAAAAACTAGTACACCTGTCATCACACTTGTACTTTTCACTGATTGTGTAGTCTTTTCCATTGTTATCATTGACTCACAAATTACCTTGATTGATTTAATAATTTCGTATATGCATATAAATATTACTGTATATCCGAGTAAAGCCTGATGAGGATCTAATCTAAAACAAAATCATCAAATAACAACTTCAACCAGATCAAAAGATGAACATAATCACACATTAATGCATAGAGTTAAGCGATTAGGGGAGTGGATAACTTTACGCATAAGGAGAAACAAACAAATCATACATGAAGCGATTTTCTAATCCATACACGTATGTATGCTCAAAAAAGATTTTACACAGTTTATTTAATATTTGTTGACTGTTATACATACTGTTATATTATTGTTATTCTTATTAGCTATCCAGTCATGCATCCAAAGCAGGTTGGCCGCTGCATATCAGTGCTGGACTTATCGGTTCCTGTACCAATTCATCTTATGAAGATATGGCACGTGCTGCCAGTTTAGCTCGTCAAGCTTTAGATAAAGGTGTTAAAATTAAATCACAATTCTTTATAACACCTGGTAGTGAACAAATTCGTGCAACTATTGAACGTGACGGTATCACGAAAATATTTCAATCTATTGGTGGTGTAGTATTAGCTAATGCATGTGGTCCATGTATTGGTCAGTGGTCTAGAAAGGTAAGTAAATTACTATCTTGGGAGGGGGCATTTTCTCTCCAATCCCTCACACAAAAAACTGGTAATTCCAAATAATAATAATAATAATAATAATAATAATAATAATAATAATAATAATAATAATAATAATTATTATTATTATTATTATTATTATTATTATTATTATTATTATTATTATTATTATTATTATTATTATTATTATGAGCCATGACGGATGGTGGCTAGTTAGTTATTTTACTTACTATTGAACAGATGTCATTGATAGAGATGCCTTTGAAGTATTACTCGCCTATGTTGAGATTATCAAGTTAACAATACTCAGGTTAGACGTAGGATGGTAAATCGGTTGATAAGGCTGTAAATTATCACCTATTGAAGTGTCAAGGATATGGGTTACATATGCTAATGCACTACTGTCTTCAACGGGCAATTTTTACTGATGTGGAAATAGGTTGGAAGAAAGCTAAGGATATCCAAACCAAAACGTTGCATCAGTCTATTGAGTCATTGACTGTTGAACTAAGCCATGTTGGTAGGTTCAGAGTGACTTCATAGTTGAGGTTCACACGATTACTGTAACATTTGGTCGGAGGACCTTAGGTAACATGTCTGAGAATCAGTTTGACTGGTGAAGATGTATTCGCTGTTTGTATTCCCTCAGTTTTTGAGTTTTAAGATTATATTATACTTCGTTTAGAACCTGAGTGCAGATATATATATGTCACATTGTAGTTTGATCATGTTGATTCAGTAGGAATAAACAAACACATCTTTATATCCATGATTGATCACTGAGTGGTGTCTAATGTTATATCATACACCTTCACAATCTGACTTATTGCCACAAAACTATTCGGGTAACATCTCTAAGTATAAAGCTAGGCGGAGTGAGTTAGAATCTTACAGAAAGCATCAGCGACCGTCAAAACTGAATGTACATCTTGCTGACGAATTTCATCTAGCAGAAAATCTGGATCAAAGAGAGTTCCCTGCCGATTGACTCCAACCACCTCATAATGTAATAACTAATTTGTGTATAATATTATTTAGACATTCTATTGAATCTGTGTTAATTCATTGATCTTTATTTTTTAGGATACAAAGAAAGGTGATAAAAATACGATTGTTTCATCGTACAATCGTAATTTCACTGGTCGTAATGATGCTAATCCAGCTACACATGCATTTGTTACTTCACCAGAATTAGTCACAGCTTTAGTATTCGGTGGCAGTTTATCATTTAATCCATTGACAGATGAACTAGTTGCAGATGATGGATCAAAATTTAAATTTAAACCACCAACAGGTATGTGTTTGTGTGTGTGTGTATGGATTTGCATCTTATCGTTGTATTTTGGTGGAGTTACATTCTTTAAGTCTAAATGACTTAATCTTAAGGTCTTCACTACCTTACTTCGTCAGGATAAACTTCAAATAGATGTGGTTTGCCTAAAGCTTCATGATTAAACCATCCAGTTCGTTGCTATAATGAACTGATTAGTAGGAATGTTGTAACTTTTGGAATTATTTCACAGATTATTACTATTTATAGTGTTGTTACAGAATTGTTATTGCGCTTCTATATTCCCTACATTGTGAGTTTCTGTCGGGACCTATTAACTATTGTTATACTTTTTATTGTTACCTAATCGATTGTTGATTAATTATGCACTTTTTATCCAGTTCTCTGTCACTCATGGCATGATAATGTGTAAAGAATACTCTCTTGTTTTGATCCATGTTATGTAATCTAATAATTAATGTTTACTAACTAGTGAGTGTTTGAGACAACAGCACTGGGTGCCCGAAATATAAGTAATAAAAGCTTGTCTACTGTGTTCTCGTGTTCGAACTCATGACTAGAAATAGAAGAAAGTTTACATATCAGTAGACCAATATGAGTTAATGTTATTTCGACCTCAGTTGCAGTCTTTCATTGTTCAAAGCTTAAGATGCTAGTCTATAAACGAAATAGTACACTCAAGGCAGATAAATATGACAGAATTCTAATTGGCGAATTTCCTTGCTAGATATTGATAAACTTATCGTTATAACACGCAGAAAATGCAATTCCGTCAAAGTCGTCCACCTGAGCTACAAGTCATCTCAACCGTCGTTTTATTAGCTTATTCTCCAGTGTATTTTATTTCCCCATAAAATCTCAGTATTAATTAGTTTATCTTATTGTAAGTTCTTGGCTGACAATTGCTGAAGAGGATTCCTTAAAGAAGGCGCAGCATGTCTACAGTACTTCTTGGTTTATTATTTGTATCACATGGTTACTCCTTCCCACTGGGTGTACACACACACATGCAATACATTTCAACGACCGGTTTAACTATGAAATTATCTAGGTGAATAAATCATTCGATGTATGTTATATCTTTCATGGTATTTAATCCTAACAAATTGTTTAAATAATATTTGATGCTATTTTCTACTCAAAAAGTGCTTTCCAATTTTAAAATACCATCTGATTATGAAGTAGTCGTATAGTAGGACCCAGAAAATATATTTCTTATTATATTTATAGGTATTCACGATTGAAAATCAAGTGATTTAATCACAGTGTCTCAGACATTCGCTTATCAAGTTTGTACTCTGTCCTATTAACTTCGGCTTGTACAGCTAAGTAGTGTATGATTATTACAAGTATATGAACATGTTCATAGCTTAATGAAGAATACTCGTTTACCAGGCATAGATTCGTGTACTTGCCTTCAAGCTACACTGAACGTGGTGGCCAGTAACACTACCCGGTCACCTAAACCGAAGTAGATTTTGTTTTAACTTCAAATCTACCATATGGTTATTGTAATTTTATTATCTCACTATTAAAAATCAGGCGATACACTACCGAAGAAAGGTTTTGATCCTGGTCAAGATACATATCAACCACCGGTGACAGATACTTCCAAAATCACAGTTAAAGTTGATCCGTCAAGTCAACGTTTACAATTACTTAGTCCATTTAAGAAATGGGATGGTAAAGATTTAACTGAAATGCCAATATTAATTAAAATTAAAGGAAAATGTACTACAGATCATATTTCAGCTGCTGGGCAATGGTTAAAATATCGAGGCCATTTGGATAATATTTCAAATAATTTGTTCATTGGGTAAGGATTTTGTGCAAACTATGCCAGTGAATCAGTATTAATATTTATTTTTAAGACACTTGTTTGTTAGACACCAATCTTTGAATTATTGGCTTGAAAGTAATCGCTCAGCCAAGATTACAACTACCAGTGGTATCTACTTAACATCAGGCTATCAACACAGTAAACATCAATAAACAGTGTGACTAGCTGAAGGCAACGCCTTTTTATGGAAAGGTTTGATCCTAAATTAATTTGGAGGTAGAACGCTGTTAAAGCAACGTATGATGGATGTCTTCGCCTCCCGGCTACACATACGATGAAAGGATACTTCTTAAGGTATCTAAAGAAGAAACTGGGTTAGGGTTAGTATTATAGACGTGGTAGCTTTACATGCGAGCCCAAGGGACAATTGTGTGGGTTTGATCACGCGTATCCTATTCCTGAGTGGTTTTTGATATGTTGATTGTGTACTTTTGAGTCCTTACTGCCAGAGATGAAAATCTGTGTGACAAATTTTGGTGTTGTACCGGTATATATGTATGTTAGATAAACAAATAAAATGAGTTTGTAGGTATCAGTGCCAAGATTGGAGTTAATATTTTCAAATAAATTGGGCATCAGGGAGAAAGTAAATAATGAATATGCTATCTTTGATATCCCAGTGAGTAGAAAATTGTGTTTCTGACGCTTCCTGCTTGAATATCTGGGCTACCTGTTTCTGCCATCTGATTATTTCAACAAGTTATCCGTTTTTCATTTGTTTTAATTAATAATTATGTCCATTAAATCGCATAACCTATTCAGGCCTTTTTATGAAAAGCCTACGACCTTTCGCTGCGTTAAAGAGAATGAACATTAATCGTATGTCAATTCCCGAGCTACTAAATTCTAACTGCCGATCACTAATCAACAAAGTGGACCATCTGCAATTCCTACTTAGTCAAAATACGTATCGTAATTGTGGTGTCATCACAATTCAAGAATCTTGGTTGAATGATTTACAGGATGACTGCCTTGTATCACTACGTGATTTTAAAATTTATCGCCAGGATCGATCGAACAATAAAAAGAGGTGTGGTGGCGGTGTAGCTACGTTTGTAAACATAAACTGGTGTCGATCTTCGTTTGTGTGTTTTAAGTTTTCAAATGACTTTATCGACTGTCTAACTCTAAGATGTCGTCCAAAACATCTGAATAAATACAATTATGTTTATGTTACCAATATCTACGTAACTCCAGACTGCACATCATCTGCACTATCTGTTTTTGCTGATGAATTCATTGAGTTCGCTGTTACTGCCTTCAGTGATTCACTTTCAATTGTATGTGGTGATTTCAATTCATGTGACTGTAGCTTCCTTACGTCACTAGGTCACCAAAATGTAGTGGATTTTCCTACCCGCCTGGATGCTCATCTAGACTTCGTCTTCATTAATGATGTGGATATATATGCGACTCGTAAACGTGCTCCATTGTCTAGCTCAGATCACTGTATAATTCGTGTTCTACCTAAAGTATATGGAAAGCATGGGAAGAGTACACTCTTACGTCAAACCAGGAAAGTCAAATATAGGAATTACTCAGAAGAAAATATCCGAAATCTGAAAAACATGTTTCATACGACTAACTGGGAATTATTTACAGATGTCTCACTCGAAAACACTACTGATGTTATCACTTGTTACCTTAAATTCTGTTTTGATATTTGTTGTCCCACTGAAACCATTTTTGTAAGTTTTGATCGACTTACATCTTCACAACTAAAACGACTACGGAGGATGAAAGAAAGAATGTACAAGGAGAACTCAAATGAAGTTCGTAAGCTAAATGGTCTGATAAACCTAGAGATTAGACGTCTCAACTGTATGTTTACTCAAAAACTCTTATCTTGCAAAAACTCTCCAAGTATATGGAAATTCTTTAAAGAACTTACAGGTGACAGAAAGTTTAGAAGCGATAACCAGCTGAATGTTTGTGACTTAAATAAATCTTTTGTACGTCAGTCATCTGATGTGATGTTCCCTCTATCCACGGGTTTAAAAAATAGCTGTGTTCCTACTTTCACTGAAACTGATGTACGAGGATGTCTCCAGTCGCTTAATTCATCTCGATGTTTGGGACCTGATGGTATCCCAAACATCCTTTTTAAAAAATGTGCTGACGTTCTGTGTCATCCGTTCACAACTATATTTAACAGATCCTTCTCATCTAATCTCATACCGAAAATGTGGAGAAAGATGAAGATAATTCCTGTACACAAGAAAGCATTTGGTGATAAGAATGTAAAATTTAGACCTATTGCAATAACTTCACCCTTCCTCAAAACCATGGAAAAATTATTAATACTTCCACTTCAGCCTGCGATAAAAGAGCATACTGACCCATACCAGTTTGCATACAGGCGCAAAAGAAGCACTTTAGATTCTGTTGCAGTTCTGCATCACAACATAGTGTTCAACTTAGAAAAGGGTAAGAAGTATGTTCGATGTGCTTTTTTGGACTATACTTCAGCTTTTGACTCTATACCAAGACAACGTTTACTTAACAAGTTAATCAGCGTCAACACTGACAGCTGGATAACCAACTGGCTATGTTCCTACCTCTCTGGAAGGGAACAGTACACTGTGTTTGGAGGAAAGAGTTCAGAGTCTCTACTGTCTCATGAAGGTGTACCACAAGGAGCTGTTCTTTCATCTCTTCTATTCTCCTTTTTTCTGCATGACCTGCCATCTTCCACAGAAAACACTTTTGTGAAGTATGCGGATGATTTCACTGTATGTATGCCTATATCTTCCTCTTTACATCCCATAGAAATGAATGAGTTTTTGTCTCGTATTGATTGTTGGTCTGTTGGTAATGGTCTCATACTTAATCCGTCTAAATGTCAAGCTGTTAACTTTAGCATGAGAAATAAACGGAATATAAACACTATTTTGAGATCCCATAGTGCTTGTACCATCGGAGACTCTTTGATAAACTCAGTGTCGAAGGTCAATTATCTTGGTGTCACCTTTTCCTCTGATCTGTCTTGGTCTTCCCACGTTTTATCGTTATCGAAGAAGGTTTTCCGTCTGACCTACTACATAAAGAGATTGCATGCTCTTGGAATTACTCGTCATTTACTCTTACAATTTGTCAATTCTTGCATATTACCTATTATTCTTTACTGTTCTCCATTATTCTTTCCCGGGCTTTTGAGAAAAGACTTTGCTGTATTGCGAAGAGTGCTGAAGGCAGTTAGCAAGGTGTGTGGTGAATCTTTCGAGGTCATAATTAATATGGTTGTGGATAGACATTTTAAATCATGCAAACTCCTGGCAGGTGTCATTTTATCAGATACTAGCCATCCCCTTCACTCTTATCTTTCTCCTTGTATATCTTCTGGTAGAACGAGACGTAATTACATTAAAATCCAAGCACGCAAGGAAAAGTACAAAAGTTCTATAATACCTTACCTAGCAAATACATTTTGTGACGAACAGGTTGTTAGAATTAACCTAGTCAATAACTTACATTCTTAACATGTCTTCAACTTTAAAAAGTTTGTTCGTTGTTCAGTAAGTAACTTGTTGAAAAACCCTGTGCTGAGAATTCTATATTGTACCAAAATATAATATTGAATGAAGCCATTAATAATAATAATAATAATAATAATAATAATAATAATAATAATAATAATAATAATAATAATAATTACTTTAAGTCACTTCTTCAGAGTAAATAAATAACCAAAATGAAATTAACACAAATTTAACTAGTACAAAGGAAACTATCCAGAATATTTTTAGTACAATCAAAGTAAAGTGTACGATTTTTAGAACTCCCCTTTTCTAATTCCCTCCTTCATTTATGGGAAGGCACTATCAATCCTGATGCTGGTCGTTTGACGGAATCACCTCACCACCGTCACATTTCGATACGGCTAACAGTACAGCTTAATCCTTGAACCTTATGTTTACTGCTTTTAGTCGCACCGCTTCAATCGATCTACCCGGTCCGCCAGGACCTAAGTGAACAAGTCTTCTTCCCAATACACCTCAATCCAGGCTATCACGATATGCAAGCTCAACCACCAAGTCAAGGTAGCAACTACAGTTGAATTAATGGGGTACTTACATTCAGTTCTTCTTGATATTTCTAGTCTGTCTGTGTTCACTGAACTAAAGCAAGAACTTAACTTCATACATGTAAAGTAATCACTTCATCTTGTTTGCTTTACCTCAACTTGACTGGTAAATCTTTTTTTATTGATGATCAGCAAAAGTACACCACTAATAAATGTCAAAAATAGGATAAAATAGATGTAATAGAGTGTCTTAAACCAAGACGAAACATATATCCAGTACACTTGTTTTCATAATTGTTCTGCGACTCATGTTTGTTATTAAACGGAAATACTTCGGAATTTAAATCTCGTTTCCTATTTGCCTATTGCTCCAATACATAATAACCAAATGATTTGTTTGACCTAAGTGAAAACGGTAACATCGATATTGTTATTATTAATTGACGATCGCACTGAAAGTCACTAGAATAGACAATGACCCAAGTTTATGAAATCCGTTACTGTTATGCAATCACGTCGTAAATTATTGATGTCATTTACTGATTATATGGGGTGTTCTTAAATCAAGTTGTATTGCATTGTTCAAATATTGTTCCACTATCATGATCGACATGATTATTTATATTACGTTTATGTTATTTAATTTGATATTGAAACATTTACACTAGTCAAACAACTTCACAAACACTATTACTCATGATAGGATTTTATCTAGATTGTGTAACACAATTAGGCTTCTTTCATTATTGATTCCTACTATATATCGGCTTATATATAACTTTAGTTTAATTCTGTATATTTCCCCTGTAGAGCTATTAATGAAGAGAATAATGAAATGAATAAAGTATTACATCGTCCATCTGGTCAGTGGGATACTGTTCCAATGGTAGCTAGAAGATATAAAACGGACGGTATCAATTGGTGCGTTATCGGCGATGAGAATTATGGTGAAGGAAGTAGTCGAGAACATGCTGCCCTGGAGCCTAGACATTTAGGTGGTCGTGCAATTATTGTGAAAAGTTTTGCACGTATACATGGTAGGTTTTTGTTTTCTGTTAAATTTAATCTGCATTATATTGTTTTGAATTTGAATGAAATATCTAACTGACTGATCACTGGATTGACTGAGTAGTTGTGACCAATTCCCCCATATTTGTTTGGTTCTTTTTAGTGCTGATCAGATTGAAATGTACTGGCCACTAGTTTAAGTGACTCGACATTACATTTACTACGTTGATATGTGTTAGGTGATTACAGATAGTATACAAAAAGCTCTTGTTGACCTAGATCTCCTGCCAGTTTTTACTCGTCAGCAATACATACCTACAGTCTTGAGGGAAGTAATACTTCCTGTGGGGTTTGAGATCACATAGTACAGTTTGGGAGCTTTCTACCAAATACCTCTAACCAGCTAACATCTCGACACTGAATGCATCAATTAGTATTCATTTTTACCGTAAAATTGTGGAAATAAACTGTCAGAGGTGAATTATTAAGGTGTTTGGAAACTGTTACCTATCATCATTCTGCGTTTGAAGAAGAATTCGCTTTCAATTGAAGTCTCTTCTGTTAATCCTTGATCTTATAGTCCTATTGGAAGTAGGTCAGTCGCAGCCCGAATAACTTGACAGTTAGGTCTCAAACTGTGAAACTGGATGACACGGGTTCAAATCCTACAAAGGGTGTCAGTCCCGTTGAGATTTCATGTACGCTTTGCTGAAGAATTTCAACACAAGGTTTCCTGCCGACTCCCTCTGACTACCTAACATGTCAATACTCTTCTCATTCCCTTTTACAATACTTGGATTGATATAAGATTTTATTGTTTCTATATTTTATCTCCTTTACGACTACTTATATATTTCTAATAATGTATATATAGAGAAACAACTCATCTTGGCTGATTGTCCTCGTTTAATCTAATGATAAGTCGACTGACTATATATCCCCAGGATTTAAAATCAGAATTTTCTCACCTTTTAGAACGGTCACAGTTAAGGAATATTAATTCTAGTCATTGAGCCATAGGTTCGGACCCTGCCAAGCTTCGGTTTCAGCAACCCTCACACTTAGATTGTATGCAGTTCAAAGTCTAGTTTGTGAATTTGCACATGGTAGATGAGTTAGTATTGACAATAATAAATACTTAATAAACATCAGTATAGGGGTTGTGGAGATTGTTAAGTTTTTGATTGAGATCATGAATCAATTGATGTTAGGACCACCGTTGGAAACCTAGAAGCACTGGACGGCCGTTTCGTTCTAGTATGGGACTCTTCAGCAGTGCGCATCCATGATCCCGCTCCCTGCGGGATTCGAACGCAGGACCTATCGGTCTCGCGCCAGGTGCTTAACCAACTAGACCACTGAGCCGGCATCCAATGGTGTTAGTGTCTATGCCGGCTCAGTGGTCTAGTTGGTTAAGCACCTGGCGCGAGACCGATAGGTCCTGCGTTCGAATCCCGCAGGGAGCGGGATCATGGATGCGCACTGCTGAAGAGTCCCATACTAGAACGAAACGGCCGTCCAGTGCTTCTAGGTTTCCAACGGTGGTCCTAACATCAATTGATTCATGATCTCAATCAAAAAATTAATAAACAGTTTGCATAAATACAGTTTCACTGTTATGTTTCAACTTCACTTGAATTGTTAAGTATGTAATGGATAGTATTCATTGAAACTTGCTACCTTATCTTTTTCATCTTTCAATAAAATGGGTTTTTTTCTGGACAGTAGAGTAATTCCAATCTACTGTTTGTTTTTTCAAAAAATGAAACATGTACAAGCTACTTATAAGTAGGTTATATGAACCAGGTTAATAATAATCATAATCATGATTATGTGAAATTTCATATTTCCTTATTGTTTCCACCGGTCACTAATACAAAGTGCAGAATTTTCCGAAAAATAACTACAATAATGGGTCACATTTACTCTAAGATCATGGATAATATTCATAGTTTTCATCATAAATTGATATTAGTTAGAAAAACATTGGAAACCTGGGAGCACTAGACAACTGTTCTCGTCGTTCTCAGTATAGAATTTTATTCAGCAAGACATATTTATGACTCTCACCTTTCACCACTGGGGTAGGGATAGAGAACCTAGGACTTTGGTCTCTTGCGCTTATACAGACACTTAGCCTCTAGACCATAATGTAGATTATAGAAGAAATTCAACTTTCTTCGCATGGATAATAGTTTACAAGATTTCACTTTTTCTCTATCTGTTATTATTATTATTTAGAGACAAATTTGAAAAAACAAGGAATGCTTCCATTAACATTTGCAAACCCATCAGATTATGATAAAATTAAACCGTCAGATAAAATTTCCCTGTTAGATTTGAAAAATCTTCAACCTGGCAAAGTGAGTAAAAAGGATATCACTATTATTTTCTTTATATATATATATATATATATATATATATATATATATATATATAGACTGATGCATACATACTTACAACCTCATTCCTACAATTGAAGAACATATGGAACTCAAAACGACTGCCAACCAACATCAAAGTCAGAATCTTTAATACGAACGTCAAGACAGTTCTACCGTATGGAAATGAAATGTGGAGAACTATTACAACCATCATCAAGAAGGTACAATTATTTATAAACAGTTGTCTAAGAAATATACTGAATGTCCGTTGACCGGATGCTATCAGCAACAACCTTCTGTGGGAGAGAACAAACCAGTTTCGAACTGAAGAGGAAATAAGGAAAATACATTGGAATTGGATAGGACATACATTATGGAAATCACCGAACTGCAGCACTAACTTGGAATTCTGAAGGGAAACGGAAAAGAGGAAGGCCAAAGAGCACACTGCGCTTGGAATTGGAAGCAGACATGAAAAGGATGAATAGTAACTGGAAAGGCATGCCCAGGACAAGGTTGGGTGGAGAATGCTCATGGGTGGCCTATGCTCCTCGACAAGGGTTAACAGGCGTAAGTAAGTAATATACAATCCGTTGTATATAATGCAAAAAGATAAATCGAAAGCCGTGAAATTTCCTGACGTTGTGGAAAATAAGTTGGAATTCGTAAATATTCTGAATTGTAAAACTTCAGTTAGTTTAAAATATTGTGTGACTATTATTAAATATCCTTCGTAACTGAGATCTCCATAATCATAGATAATAATGAAAGCTTATCAATCATGAATACTCTGCTGAAGTTTGATCTATTCATTTAGAAGTGTAGAAATATAGTTTAGATGAATGGTTTGTCAATTAGTCACTGATATATGTGTTAGCCCAAGTTCCTATATCATATCAGTACAATGATTTACAATTTACAAGATGATTTGAAAAAGGAATTTGGAATAATCATAGTAATAACTATAGTGAGAGCGATCAAAGGTAGAGACAGAATGACAAAATATGTATCAAAAAGTATTGTAGGTTAAAATCGGATTGAAATAAGGAGTGATTGGTTCTGTTCTCTCTGCAACCAATTGTTTGCTAAATGTTTTCAAATTGAAATTTTTTGAAATTTGTTCGATTTAAGGGTAGTTTTACTAACAGATTAACATCAACTGTTGAAAATCTAGAGGCATTCAACTTCTCGATAGTTTCATACTCACATCACTAATCAAGCTGATTATAACTGTTACGTCCTGCGGTCATCTGATTCCACTTACTGAAATACTCTGCTTATTCTCTAGCCCAACTAATTACTTGAGTGAGAAAACCAAGAATGAACAACAAGCTTTTATTGGTCTACTGAATCCAGAATATTTGCACGACTCATTCATAGATATATATCATTCTCTCTCTCTCTCTCAGAAAGTCAAACCAGATTGTTAACCAGTAGCGTATATGTTTATTTCCTCAGAAAGTTTAAACAAATCTTAATCTATCACTTCTCATTTGGTCTACGTCTGATCGACCCAGTTTATCAATAACACATACAGTACATTCGATGAATCTTTTCATGACCAAAAATTCACATTGTTTTAATTTTGAATGATGTTTCAAATGAATTTAACTTTACTTTATAACTCTGAGTATAAATGTAATTATTAATTACATATATTTTTAATACTCACACATGCGATAATTTCTTTTAGCCTGTTCGTTGTGTAATCCACCATGAAAATGGTAAAACTGAAGAAGTTCAATTATTGCATACATTTAATGAGAATCAAATTGAATGGTTCAAAGCTGGAAGTGCTTTAAATCGAATGCGTGAATTAGGCAGTAAACAACATTAAATTCTGTCTATCATATAACGTCTTATACTTACTACCTTCCTTTTGAGATAGTTCCTAACCAATTTTTTTAAGAATTTGTTTACTTTCTTTATTTAGTTTCTTTGTTTATTCTTCTTGAATGAACTTCCTTTTCATTCAACTCATACATTTCTATTTATATGCTGTTTTGTAGTCATATATATCAGTTAGCTATGCAATTTAGTAATCTACAAATTACGCATTTTCACATTAATTTATTCCCTCCCAAACTATCCCCCACTTTCTCCCTCCATATTGTTTTGCATTAGTAGAGTTTGATAATCAGTCAATTGTCATTTCAGAGTTTAAAATAGTCTTGATACTATTTACATATATCTATTGATTGTTAGTTTGCATTTTCTCAAACATACGTGCATGGATCCATACAAACAAGCGTACATATGGTGACCTATGAAAATGGAACTACTTGTGCAACGTATCGTTTTTTTCTCTGTTTTTTTATAGACAGTGAATATTTGTGTTCATTGTTTAAAATAAACAACTTGAGCTTTTGTGAGTAAAATGTTACACATGATTAACGGGAATGGTTTTGGAGAAGTAAATTACTCAATCCTTTTTTTAATTGTTATATCTTGTGGCATTGTGCCCCTATCAATGTGATGGAATGATACCGCCAATTACAGAAGAGTGATTTATCGACCGGAGCAGGGACGCGTAAACGCTTACGATGAATCTAGTGTTCTTATCGATCCTTCTTCCTGCCTAGCCCTGCCTGTTGAGTCCAGAACACCAATCTCAGCTTCTGCTATATGAATCATATATTTCAAACATACTGGGTTTATATACAAACCAAAAAGACTACATCGTACCATAAAATAGAAAATAACATTTGTACATGATCTAACCAAAAGTGGCTGTGAATGTGAGAGACTGTAATTAATGGAAGAACATGAATATGCATAGTTTAGCTACTTAACAGTAATGCAGTAAAAATTTAGGTATCGTATTTGTCCATAAATAGTTCTCAAAAGTTACCATTCATAATTCTCGTCAGGATATAGCACATACCTTTCCATTCTGTCTTTTCAAACCATATTCTCAAGATTCAGTTCTTTTTATCTCTGCTACTACATTATTTCGATATTCTTTGTTATTTGCATATCGTCGTGTTGATCTGTTATGGTAACTTGAGTCAACGCATATCTAAGTCAGGCTCTGTTTTGATCATGTCTATTCTATGATAAAAGTACCTTTAAATAAAACATACACCTACAAAAGTCATCTAATTTTTCGCTTATATATGCATACTGGTTAACATTGATTTTGGAATACGGTGTATCTTATTGGTTAAAATTAAACTGAATCAAAACGTTCGTGAAAATAATTACCAATTTTTATAGATCTTAAGTAAAGAACCGATTATTTTTAGACCACCATTGAAAACTAGGAAGCGCTGGGTGGCCGTTCCATTCTAGTATGGGACTCCTCAACAACACGTATCCACTCCCAAGCACCTGTAAATCTAACCCAGCAGCTTCGGTCTCGTATGAGAAACCAGAACCTCTAGACCACTGAACTGGCACCCGATGGTTATTAATTTACAACCCCAATAAATTCAAGATATTGCGTGACCATCTCCTATTGTCTGCCGTAGTTACCTGTCTCACACCCAACATGTTGGAACTCTACTGGTCACCGCTTCTGTAGGAATTGAATCTAGGGATTGCCCCGATCTAGAATTTAGATATTTTCTTAGTCTTAAAGAAATAAGTATTACAAATCAAATTAAATGGAAAATTGGACCATTGAATTGCAGTTTACTGAACTAAACATTAGGTGCACTTTAGAATGGTTGGGCTCTATCTCGAAATGAGGTCATCGCTGAGCACTACTGGAAATTCAGAAACTAGGGCAAAAAAGCTGTCCAGTAGCCCAAGTTTTTCCAACTGATATCAATCCACCACGAAAAGCTAACATATACACAAACTAAATTCACTTGATATTGTTTGTTTGTATCTTCCCATTGTTATTTCGGACTGCAATTGATCAGTCTATTGTTGGAATTTGTGCCCTGGATTCCACTGCTAGCCACTATCCATCTTTGATTATATAGAGACTAGTTAAAAATGATTTTGCACAAAACGAGATTAGCAGGAAATATTACATCTATTCTATTCTAAGACTTTTCTCATCGATTTTGAAGTGTTAGGTTTTACATTGAACGAAAAGGTGACATAGTTTAACTGCTGAAATTAAAACAAAACGTGTGAAACACAAAAATTGACATGACATACATACATATGAAATTTGAAATAACGAGTTTTAAGTCTTAAAATAGAACTTTATCCACAGCACAAATTTTTACAAGCAACAAATGGTCGGTCATTTTTACCAAATTTACTTCTGTCTATTACTTCAGTTTACCTTTGCATTACAAAAGAATGCAAATTTACCGAAAAGAAAGTTTATATAATTAGTAATTAAACAGTATTTTTCAACTCGACAAGGATAGGATTCTAACCCACGTGAGGAAATCCTTTTTGGTGCCCAGTATCTGACCCCAGTTTGATTGCACGAATGATGTTATCGAAATATACTTCTCAGATAACCTCATACAGATTGATAAACTTAATTCACCTTAGAGAAAAATAGGGTAAAATAAGTATGAAAATGAATTTCGAATACGTATATTTCGTAAACTCGTTCACTTGGTCGAAATGAAAAGCAAGTAGTCAAAGCTAAGTGGAGAAGAAGATTGAGCTAACTCGATTTTATCAAGCTTGATTGGGCATTTATAATCAGACAAAAACAATTTACAGACATGTAATGAATGGGATAAGCAATGCACATGCATACGCTCATTTAAAGATAGTCAAGGTTAATAAGCGAATAATTGATGAAGTAAAAATGTAGCTCAAAAAGAAGGAATGAATCGGTCTGTCCGGAAGCTAGAATAACCTTTGTGGGCTTGACGTAGTATCAGACCCTACACCCTATTGGATTAGCAATCTGTCGCCTTAACTATGAATTATAACTACTTAAACTAGTAATTAAGTAGTAGAAAATTCATACTGCTAGTTTTTTAAAAATATACATATGTATATGAACATAGTTATTTGAAGATAGACGTACAAAACACAAAAGGAGGAGAGGAAACACTTATCTAGAGTTTGAAAATTGTTATGTTGGATTGCGTAGTAATTATAAATTTGAGGCGCCTTCATTGAGTGAGTGAAAATTACAGATGAACAAAAAGATAATGTTAAAGTGGATGAAATAACATTTAGCTAAGCGAGGGTTACATAAACAAATATAGACAATAATAATTAAAGAAAACTTAGTCAAACTCCTGAATTTGCCATAGTAGTGATAAATTGACACTTTGTAAATTAGTGATTGGAGGTAGTTGACAGGAGACTTTAAACCGAAAAGCTCAAAACCCAAGTTCAGGGCGTCCTGTCGACAATTTTCAACTAGCATCTCACATTTCAATATAGTCCAGTCTATGCTGAGTCAGTTAAACTAGTGGCCATATTTCAACCTGATCGATAGAATTTGATCAGCACTAAAGAATGACTTGGGATACATGACATTCATCAACAATCAGTGATTAGTCAATTGTAAATAAAATCTCCACAAAACCCCTTCCGATAATAATCATCTGCTCACTAGTGACTGACTTCAAGAGACACTCCTGGAGTTCTAATGAGAAGCCGTGACCAGTGGAGTTCAACCAGGTCTGTTGTGAGATATCAGCTCACTGAAGACAATGCTGTACGGTGGCGCAACTTCGTGGATTGGTTGAAGTTAGACATTAACATCGTTGGATGCCGGCTCAGTGGTCTAGTGGTTAAGTGCTCGCACGCGAGACTGATAGGTCCTGTGTTCGAATCTCGCGGGGGGTGGGATCGTGGATGCGTACTGCTGAGGAGTCCCATACTAGGACGAAACAACCACCCACTTCTTCCAGGTTTTCCCTGGTGGTCTAGCTTCAATTGACTCATGATTTCAACTAGTGAAATTGTAAATAAATTGACACATTCTAAAGAATTCGGTAACAAAACGTACCACAGCAATAAACGGTGTAAAAGTTCGGCATCCAATCGATAGCTGTCTTTATTGTTGTGATTACATGGTCATTAATTGTTATTGTTTGTTTTTTGTCATACAACTGTCACTTGGATAAATATTATTCTATTCGTATTAATATTGTCTTCTTACTTATTTGTGATTTTCATTATCTCAATTATTAAACTTGTGTAAACTCATCAAATCTATAATTATTACGTAGCCATCCTAACAATTTTCTTATTCTAGATAATTACTGCCTTTCTCTCTCTGTGTTTTCTGTCTACCCTAACCTTTCTAGTCATCAATATATATTATTTAATAATATGTTGTATATCAGTGTTAATACGACTGTAAGCGGCTGCTGAGGAACTGCGATATTAATATGAATCCATTTTATTGTGGATCAAAAGTCGTTTTTATCCAAACAATAGAAATGTTTACGTAATCAGATTATATTAAGAATACCATCGTGTTCTAATATCACAGTTTTATTTATCTTTTTTGTTTATGAATTATTAACCCATTAAACAAATATCAATGTAAGTCACGGGTTCGGGGGATATACACACATACCGTTATTTTTGTGACTTTAAGCCCGGCTAGTTACCAATGATTTATTCGCCAATCAAAATACGACCTATACAATTTTAGTACTGTGCCAAACCAATGACATCCGACTGGTATGAGCAGCCTTGCGTCCTTATCGGTCCTTTTTCCTTCCAGCCCTGCCTGTTGAGTCCAGAACACCAATCTCAGCTTCTGCTATATGAATCATTTATTTCAAACATACTGGGTTTATATACAAACCATTAGTAGTTCACAGAAGTTACCCGTAATTTAATCTTCACTAGGATATAACAGTTAGTATATAGGTGTCTGATTTGTGGCGAAGTTGATGGAGTTGCTGACCCTATACCTAACCCCACGCCAGTTTACAGGCAATGATCAGCTTGATATAAATAGTAACATTAAATGTAGAGAACAAACATGTGATATAAGATTGTTTTAAGTTTACTAGTTCAAAATTGTTTAGGTAGCATATTTATGACATGCATTACAACAATGCAATGCACCGGCCGGAAACTTTTATTTCTTCTTAAGTGGACATCCTGTTGATTTATGAACAATGCATTTAAGGTCATTTCCTGTGCCATAACGAATTAATTATAATCACCTACTACTATAATGCATGTATCATGTGACTCAGTGACATAATGTTCATGTTGAAAACTATTCAAATTAGTTAGGGTTGCCAGGGGGGGTGGTTTTACTTAGAGAATTCAGTAACAAGAATGGCTAAACATTTAAAGTTTCTATAATCTCACTTGTGCAATAAGATACACTTACGGGTGCTAGAACATTTAACGCATTTTCACAGGAGCAGCATGCATCAATGTAGCGAACAAAGAATGGGAGTGACTTTATCTTACATATAGATTGTGGTAAATCCTCCTGTAGCTCTCCTAGAGTTACCGCCGGTCCCAAGCCCGGGTAAAGGAGGAGGGTTGGACATGGGGTCGGCAACTAATAACCGGCTATTAGTGAA